TTTCAAATCATGGGTTACATCTGTGGATGTAGAATCCATGGATATGATAGAAGGACTAAGGGTGTGTCCTAAACCACTAACACTGAAGTGAGTATAGAAGTTAACATAAAAGGCATGTGTGAATAAGGGGAGAAGTACTGAAAAGTACGATTGTGAATAATAGACTGTGTTAAACAGAAATTGATTTATAGCCTCAAAAAGAAAACTATATATTGAAATGAATTTAATAAACTTAGGTTATTTGTCCAACACAACCTTGCTTACTGTATAGTTACTACAACCAGCACAGACATTTTGAAAGGAATAGCAGATCTCAGCAGAACTTGATCCAGAGAGGGATTCTGTTAGAAACATACTTTGAGAAAAGGACATGAGGATTTTCAGATGAAATTGTTTAGTACTGTAATAATAACAGTATGTTCAGATCTCACAATAAGATCTGTAAAGACTCTGTCTTGTTGTGAATGAACATAATTGCTGGTTTGCTGCTGCCAAGCATTGCAGATATCAACTGGAATGATGAAGAACTAGAAGCCAGCATAACAAGCTAGAATTCTACTAATTTCCAACTTGCTATGATAGTGATAAGTGCATCTACACCAGTGGTTCTCAACCTGGGGTCCCCAGATGTTTTTGGCCTACAACTCCCAGAAATCCCAGCCAGTGTACCAGCTGTTTGGATTTCTGGGAGTTGAAGGCCAAAAACATCTGGGGACCCCAGGTTGAGAACCACTGGTGTAGATGCACTTATCACTATCATAGCAAGTTGGAAATTAGTAGAATTCTAGCTTGTTATGCTGGCTTCTAGTTCTTCATCATTCCAGTTGATATCTGCAATGCTTGGCAGCAGCAAACCAGCAATTATGTTCATTTCAGAAGGCTTCACAATATTCTTGTAAAGCACATTGTATTCCTTTGGAGAGTGACCATTTATCCGATTTCTGTTTGTTCCATCTACAGTGTTGCCCCTATGATGCACTTTCCCCCGTCTGAAAGCCTAATCCCACTGTTCATCCTTTTTGGGCTCCTCTTAATTACACTTTTTCCCCCTATTCCTACCTCATCCAGGGTTTTATCATTTTCCCTCATCCATTTGGCCTGCTCATTGATTTTATATTACGGTATGTTTATTGGCTTTATTTTATTGTTATGTTATGTATTTTATTTTGATGTAAATTTTGTTCTCTGCATTTTGTATTTTATTCAGTTGTATTGTATCTTTGGGCTTGGCCTTCAGGGAGAGGGTGGCGGGGTATAAATAAAGATGATGATGATGATGATGATTCTTCTTCTTCTTCTTCTAACCAGTGGATGTAGACAGCCCTTGGATACTTCTGTGATATAACTGCCTGTGCACCATTAATATGACCACTCATATTAGCAACTTCATCATAACCTTGTCCACAGAAGTATTGCAAGTTCAGCCCATTTTTTCCAGTGTTTTTAAAATAATGCCTGCAGATCCTCCATCTGTCATGTTACTTATCTTCAGAAAGCCTATAAAGTCTTCTCTTATTCCTGCAGTTTCAACATCAAGAGAGCGATGACTGTTCTGAAGTACACACATCCAAAGTTTTATCTGCCAGAACAGATAAACACTGTGATGCACTGCACTTTTCAACAATTTTTGGACTATCTCATCACCACAAATGTCTATTAGTTCATTCTGAATTTGAAGACTAATATACTAGGCCTTCATAGCTGAAGTTTTGAGGTGACTTTCAGGTCAATGTCTCCTGGTCTGGCATGAGATCTCAACAAGGTCCTGAAATTACCAAGTGCAAATGTTCTTCATAAGTAATAGAGCCAGAATCATTGCTCCCTCTTAAAGCCAGTTCTTGTTGACTACATAGGGCAATAGTTTCCACAATTGGCAGAAGTTTCTGATTCTTCTTCTTTCCTTTATCCTGATGACAGGTTATATCAAGACATTTTCCCACTATGAATTAGCAAGAAGTTCTCAGTCAAGCATAAGTTGTTTTGGCTGTAGTCTACTTTTTTCTATTGCACAAATGGTTTAGCAACCAGTGCAACAAGCTTCTGATGACAACTTCTCCTCCAAACACAACACACTACTTACAGAGTGCACCTTGTACATGAAATGAGTAGGCTAATCGGAGAAATCTGTTAAATCATTTGGGTTGAAAAGATGCCTCTTCTTATCCATAGGATAAGAAGAGGCAGTGGAGTCTGTGGATTTTGGCAGGGCTTGGGTTATCAGTGGTTCTCAACTGTGGGTCCCCAGGTATTTTAACCTTCAACTCCCAGAAATCCTAACAGCTGGTAAACTGGCTGGGATTTCTAGGAGTTGTAGACCAAAACACCTGAAGACTCACAGGTTGAGAAACACTTGCAATCCAGGTCAAATTCCTTCTGCACCTTAGGCTTTGCCTGCCCGTTGCAGGTGGGCCAACTTGGTTGATTCCACTATATCGGCAATTGCTGTTATTGCAATATAAATTGGCAGAAAAGTAAGTAATGATAGTGTGAATACATTACCAAATTTGGTTGAGGAAGTGCTTGAAGTTCTGGAGGAACTCTAAATTTTGCTTCTCATAGCCTTAGCATGAGGATTTGGTTAAATTCACGAGTAAACCTGTTTTGTTTTTTTTAATCTGAAAAATGTCGGGCTTAAGTGTATTATTGCCTTCCATGGATTCTGCATAATAACTAATTTTGTTTCAATGGTCAAGTTGAAATGTCAGATGATTCCCAGGTGTATGCAGATCCAACAAGGAAAATAAATACTTCTTTTACTCACTATTTGAAAGGCCAGGATGGGACATGATATCATTTTGAGATTCAAATGAAGTTTTAATGGACTATAGCTAGTGTAATTCCAACAACATACAACTTTCAACTGGCAGCTTTCAAGTTACAGGTCAGGGTTAAAAGTTATCTATTTAGCATCAAAGGTTACTCCACTGCAAACATAACAAGGTCTCCCGTATGAGGGGAGCAGTGTTCATTGGTTTGGCTGAATCTTATCTACGAGGTATGAGGGCATGATTTCAAATCACTAATTAAACAGTAGCAAAAAGGAACATTTTGACATGACCTGATTGGACCTTGAAAACATCCGTTCTTAAAATCCAAAACATGTATTCCAGGAAAAAAAATCCACTAATCCACCACTGAAAATGGTAGATCAGTGGATATTGGACTTTGCTGTATGCTGACGATTTAATACTTGCTTCTGAGAACAAGGAAGAACTTCAATGTCAAGTGCAAGCATGGTGTGATTGGTTGGTGCAATTCAGTTTTCACTTCAAGGTCAAAAAGACAGAGTCAACAACTTCAAGTATCTCGGATTGATGATAACTTCAGATGGCAACCTTTTTGACAAAGTCACTACACGGATTATCACGGCTTGGATGAAATAGCGCACAGCAGCAGGTGTACTCTGAGAAAAGAAGATGCCCAATCACCTGAAATCAAAAATCTATCGAACTTCTGTAAGGCCTGCTGCGATATGGAGCCAAATGTTGGCCTGCAACAAAGGAAGCAGAATGCTGCCGGTGTTATGGAGATGATAATGCTATGACTTACAGCTGGCATCACACGCCTTGACCACATCCACAATACTTTGGTATTGCTCCAATTGCTGACAAACTACAAGAATCACGCCTCAGATGGTATGGTCATACTCTCCGAGGTGAAGACGAGTCTATTCTCAAGATTGCTCTTGATTTAGAAGTGCCTGGCAAGAGACCAAAGGGATGACCGAAGCAACACTGGCTGGGCACATTGCACAATGATCTGAAGACTGCTGGCATACATCCTGAGTAGGCACATGACTGGGTGAAATGGCACCAGCAAACCAGGAAAGAGGACCCCACCATCAAGCGGGACAAACGTTGAAGAAAATGAAGAAGAATCTACTATTGAAAATTATTTATGTGGCTTGATGAAATCTCATGGTAAACCACTAACTATATTAATACAAGCAGGCCTTTGTATCCATGGATTCTGCACCCACAGATTCAACCATTCCCAGTTTGAAAATGCTTAAAAAAAAAAAAAAAGCTTCTCACTATTTCACATATACTTGGGTGCTATCCATCACTTTTTTTTAGTTGTTTTATATAAGGGCAAGCATTTTACTATGCCATTTAATATAATGGGACTCGAATATTCCCAGGTATTGTTATCTTTACAGTGGTTTGGGATTTCTACAGAGATTTCCTGATAAGTTCAAAATCAGCAGACTAAATTAATTTAGAATTCTAATAACATGTCACCTATTAGTCAATTTTATTTATGTCACAGGATTCCTACCTAGGCCTAAATTATGTGCTAAAAAGACTTCTGGGATGACTCATATTATCATTTGCAAAGTTCTGCTCCACTGAAACTCACTGAATATTGAGGTTTCCAGATGAAGAGGTAGGTAATGTCTTTATTTATTTTTATGGTGGAATTTTGGCATTTGCACATTCTACTTCACAAAGTTAAAAACTATTCTGTAGGAATGTGACATAACACATGAAGTCATGCATTTGGGACCTACCAAGTTGGAAACCGCCTTGAGTCACTGATTCAAGGCTGAGAAAGGCGGTATACAAATACAGTAAATAAATAAATAAATAAATAAATGTTATGCTC